TCACATTTTCAGTGGTAACAATAAAAAAAAGGTAAATACGACGTTGGACTTTTTTTTTTAAATAAAGGAAGTGTATTTTGTTTGCTTAGCCTACTGTGATTTAATTAAATTAAGAAAGACACTTTTCTTTTTACTCCTGACCCTAAGAGAGGTATAAAAACAGAAAGTGTGATGTTACCTTTACATTGTTTATGTGCTCAAACCACAGCATTGTCCCAATAAAAAAGAGATTTAGACGTGTATATTTGTGTGTTTAAAAAATAAATAAACAGGAAATCTAAATAAATGTAAAAAGAAAATTATTATATGCAAAATATTTAAAGAGTAATAGATAAATAAATAACTAAAATAAATCCGTAATAATAATCTGAAAACAATAATACAAAATGTATCTCTATTTGCTGCTATAAAGCTGTGTTCTTATGTGGATCTCTTTACAGTCTGCTCCCAGACAAAGAGAAGAGGCTTCAAAAGAAAAATATTTATGAATCTCGAAGGGTTAAAAGTCTGACAGGCTGTGCAGGAGAAATAGAGCTTACATACCAGAGCAGTGAGAGCAGCCTGTGGAGCTTTAATCCACTAAACAGAAACCGGACCAGAGAACGATGTGAAATACTCAACCCAGCTATAAGAAACACGAGTAAAAGTCTGTTAGAGCCATAAGACATGATATTGTCTTCAATGGCACTCTTGACTCCTGAGATAGGAGGTACACTTTGTATTTGTGTACTATTGTTAGGGGTGCACAACATGAGGAAAAGATACTATAATGTTATTTATAATAAATTAAAAAAACAGAAAGCAAAGCAAACCTAGTTCTGCTTTGCTTTCTGTCTTTCCGTGTAGTAAGACAGACAAATGATGCGGTTACATTTTAAACTGTAAACGTTTTTTACTGAAAAAGTTGAATTAAAACTGACTTGACAATATAATGAAGATAATGCCTATAAATCTGTAGATTATCATGATTTCTTTCGTTTTTTCTCTCCTTTTAAAGCACTTTAAATTGCCTTGTTGGTGAGTTAATGAAAGGCACACACACAAAGCGTCAGAGGTCCCCATGACGTGACTGTGCAAACAGACCGTTGTCCCCAAAAATAGATGAATACCCACACACACACACACACACACACACACACACACACACACACACACACACACACACACACACACACACACACACACACACACACACACACACACACACACACAGGAATGTGTTCATTTCCTTTTCGGTGTGAATGTTTACACTCGAATGTTGAACATTTTTTTGAAGCACATTGAGAATAATAGTCCTTTGAAGGGAGGAATGTAGTGTGTCTGAGTGTGTGTGTGTGTGTGTGTGTGTGTATGTGGTTATTGTCATTCTGACTGTGTTATATCTGAGGATAGCAATTTATTTAAAAACCTGACACTAGTTTGTCTTTTGTTCTATTAATCTGTACAGCACTATTAACATTAATTTATATATAATCCGAGCCACATCAATTCATTCTTGTCTTCATTAACAGGTTTTCCAGTGATTGTAATAATAATTTACATTTGAACATTGATAAAATAATCCTAACGAGAAAGATTCAAAAAGAAGAGGAGGCAGATACTGAAGCGGCAGCTGAGATATCCCCACTCTAATTTCTAATATGGCCCAAGCTCCGAAAATACTGGATCCCACATTTCCCAGGATGCATCAGAACAGCATATTGTCATTAAGTAATTTCTCTGGCTTCGTAGAGCGCTTACAGAGACAAGAGTACATGACACCACTGTTTCCACAATTAGCTTTTTACTCCAGATGACTGCATTTAGTTAAAAAAACTACTTGAGTAACTGAGTCCAAACCATCTGAACAGTCCTGGTCCAACACACCATGTCCTTTCTTTCCTGATAGCAACAAGAGAATAGTTTAGAGGTATGCAGCACAATTATTAATACAATCGGTTTTTTTGTTTTTTGTTTGGAAATAACCACATTAAAGTGATAGCAGTGAATGTTCAGGAATAGCATTTAAAGATTAACAGAATCTGGTCATGTATAATTCAATCATAGATTACCTTAACAAAATTCAAATGACTCAATCGCCCAAATTGGCATGGCATAATATTACAGCTTTATTATCAAAATATATTTTTTAAATCGTACATTTTGTTTTAAAATTAAGACCTTTAATATGTGGGTTGCTGCTGTGGTAAATCCCCAAAACAATCTGCAAGTTTTTCAGTTGATCAGATCTCTGTCTCCCTCTAGTGTTCAGTTTGAGGAATCACAGGAAGGTCAGAGAAGAAGTAGGATTATTGTTCTTAAAAGGTATTTTATCCTTATTTTATATAAAATAATCTCACAGTTTTTACTCATACATATTAAAATAAAATACATTTGTATTGCTTTTCTCTAATTTCTGAGAATATTCTCAGGAAATACACAACATTCTATGAAAGGTCTAAAGGCATTAAGATGAGTTTTCCAGCTTGTTTTCCAGTCTCATATTATATATTAGTATTAGAACTTCTTTCTCAACTTTTCTTTTAAAAAATATGGGTTGTATCAAAGGTGAAAATGTAGTGAAAACGACTTAATTTTTAACAGTTTTCCAAATAATTATTTTATATAGCATTATGCATTATCTAAAAATCTTAATCTGCATATACATCATACAATGAATTAACTGTTATATGTATAAACATTTACTGTCAACACTTTTTTTTAAAGGATAAAATCACAACAAAACCCCACCCAGTGTTTTATTAACAGATTACTTTTATTATAAATATACAGTGTTAATGGAATGGTACCTGACACTGCCAGCCGTTTTACCGTGTATAAACTAAAACAAAATGTAACCAGCGTTTGTGCTGCTGATCTGAAATCATCAAATCACATGACACGTTAATACAGAGTCAATCAAAAATATCCAATATCCCCTGTGCACACGGGCAGGTGGCTGAATACACCAGAACACATCGCTTCTCTTCAACAGCTCAACAGTTTGTGAAGAAAAGAACATGACTTATGCTTTTAGAGTTTTAACCTTTGTTTCGAGGAGAAGGAATAACAAAAACATAAGAAGAAGGGATGTCAGGTGATAAGGACATCACATGTGACCGAGACATTCATTGGTACTCAACCAACGGTTTATAAAAAGTTGCCACATGTAGCATTTTTAACGTCAATAAACCACTTTTTCGTGATGAAATGACACTTTTACTGTATAAAGACTACATTTCCCATAAACCCTTTCGCTGCATGTATTTGTTGCTTCAAACTTTGAAGTCTTACATTTACAAATTGACTACAAAGAACTTTTGCCATTTCTGCCCTATACTTAACCCTGTGACATTTTGTTAATTCACCTTTTTGGCAGAAATATAACCACCAGCTAATTCACATTCAACACAAATGTAAAAAATCTGCTGGTTTCAGTTCATTAAATGTGGAAATGTGCCAGATATCTTTCACTTTGTGATAGTTAACTGAATCATTAGGGGTTAGACAGCTAATCAGAAAATAATGAATCAAAATTAAAAAAAGTTGTCGTTAAGCGCCCTTTTCCTACTTTGTCAAGATTTGCAGATGTTAAAAAGTCACATGTGGAACCTTTAATTTGATCATTTATCTTCATGAATGTTCCACATCAGATCGGTCCTACTGTTGTTTTTTTTTTTTTTAAATGTGAAAATCTCCCCTTAAAGCACAGGATTAATCAGACACACAACAGGAGCCGTTGTTCAAGTCAATGGCATGAAGGCTTATGAGCAAATGTTGCTTTCATTTGCTTTCAAATATCAACTCCAATTTTAAGTTTTAAGTATCAGGCACTTTATTTGTAAGTACTTTACATGAATGAGCCGTGCCGTTAAGGACTGATGCTGAAGTGTGCAAAACACTGGATATAACAAATGTGTTTGAACATGCATAACAAAATGTAAACATCTTTATATAAAAAGGGAGAAAAAAAAGGAAATGAAACGTAAAGAAACTTTTAATAAACTAAAGCATAAATAACCAAAGCAGAAGAGAAAATATTTGTCTCTCATTCAAGTTTAACTCTAAACTAGAAGGATCTCCATTTCTTTCTGACACAAGGTTTTGGTCATTAACGTAAAAATGAATATGGAGGAAAAATGAAACGAACAAAAAAGGCAAACAGTCATCAGGAGAGTCTGACGTAGATCAAACTGTGTGTGTATACGAAGGAAGAGGTGGAGGCGCATTAAGTCGATGAAAAGGAGGAAATGGATCGCACTTTCAGACAGTTTCTCACAAAGATGTCCCTGGTGTTGCACTTGCAGAGTGAGAGAAGTAATGATGATATACATTATTTTGAAAAGAGAGCTCGAAATGTATTATTTTATCTGTATTGAAATTTACAAAGATTCATTTGAAACAAAAACCCAGCACAATCTGGGAAACTTTTAAAGGGCACTTTTAAAAAGGGCAAACATGATTTACACAAAGCATCTCTTCTCTTTTTGAGGTTAATTCATTTGTATGCATGCCCATGTTCAATATAAATATATAGTAATTCAATTACAAGGCTGGTGTAACATCAAAGGCCAGGAAGAACTACACATACCAGAATATTAGCGATAGTTTGGGTGTTAAACAGCCACATAGTAGGAGAGTCCTGGAATGAAAGGCTAGCAACAGTTACTAAGGGAGTTTGAGGGTGTAAAGTTCTGTTAATGTCCTCACTTTTGTAAAAAAAAAAAAGAAGGGATTTCTGACTTCTGACAGAAACAGCTTTTCCCTTTGTAAGTAGGCCCATCTGTAGTTTCAAAGCCAGCTCTCTGCACGTCACTTTCTTTTATGTACAAGTGCAACACTGAGCGACTTCTAGCTGAGACTGTTGAAAGAGTGCACCGTTTCAACCCATTTCAATGACAAGACATAGCTGGGAAAATGCAACAAGCGTGCAGTATCTGGTCCCTTAAAGATGTTGTCTAATCACCACTTAGTTACCCTGTCATCTTAGAGGAGCTACAACACTTGTATCTTTAGCCACAGACATTTGAAGGCCTTTACTGCTTGGAGCACCTTAATAAACAAAAGGTTTACAGACAGGAAGAAGCAGAGAAAAACATCAGATACACATGAATCCTGTTGTAAGATTAGCATACCTGTGAGTTTAAGAAACAACAGATCTTCCTCAAAGTATAGTAGTAAGAAAATGACTTACAATATCTGGAAAAACTCCAAACATGATCAGAAATGTTCTAGAAAGGTTTTGGAGGTCTGGTGATTTCTGGAGGAGAAACATGTGCTTTGGTGCTTCTCCAGCGATCTACATTTCTCTACTCGTGCATCCGTTCACACGGTGTTCGTATCCCTCTCAAACCAAGCCAACAACAGCCAAATAAAGCAGAACAAAACTGTTAATATTTTCATAGCAAGTCATTCAAACACAGGAACAAGTCGATAAAGAAGATTTAATGACTTGTTGAAAAGAAAAATAATTTGCAGCTTTATGAATAAAAAATAACAATATGGGTACATAACTAAGAAAAAACAGCACCGGGGAAATCGGTGTCGTAGTTGCTTCCACTCCTAAAGTAATAAAACATTGGCATTGGGGAGAATAAAAGGTGGACAATATAAATATGGAGTAACAAATTAAGCACGTGGGTACAGTAGGTGTGCTGAAAACAAACCGAAGGAAAAAGGCTGAGATTAAAAGGGATACCTTGACATTTTTTTTATTTTTCTTTCAGCTACACAACGTTTTCTGTCACAATATGGAGTCGGTGGTTTGTGTTGGCACTTTAGATGAAGAAGAGGAAGAAGCTGGGTGTGGAAGTGAAGAGGTTTAAAAAGGTTAAGAAACCCGAAACATGTTCTTTGGTGAAACAGGAAATGCGAGTGTCTGGAAAAACTCAAGTAAACGGCAAGAGACACGGTTATTTATGACTAAATGAAGAGCGGATTCCGCGGTGTAATTCTCGTGTAATCAGGCCTCCTGCGTGCAAACCAAAACAGTTATTTCCACCTTCTGTTCTGTGCTACATGTGTGAAACCGGGAAACTCTGAGGCTGTGTTCATGGGCCAGGATCCATCCCTGCATTCTGCCCAAATGCATCATGGGATAGGCCTCCCTTAAAACGGATAAAGCAGGTGGAAATGAAAAAGAAAGAACCTGAGGTAGTCTGAATGTTTGGGCTACATGTTCATTTTCCATCTCACATCGTTTTCTCCTCCTTTGCTGAACAGAGGGCCGGGCGATATAGTGTGTGATTTCAGATGTCGCGTTGTGGCATGAGGGACGTCTTCTCCTGAAGGCTGAATTACAGTCAAGTGATGTCATTTTCATTCTTTTTTTTAACGACAGTCAATAGATCAACATATTACTGATTATTTATAAAGACAACAATAGACAACTTTACAATGTCGTCACATTTGACGGAGGTATTGGGACAGAGATATCCTGACATTTGATATAATCTCTATCGCCCAGCCCTAGGTGGTTGTAATGAAAGCGAGATGACGGCACCAACGCGAGGCCGCTGTCTTTACAATACAAACAGCAGGGCCGGGTATCGAACCGCAACACTGTTTATTATGAAACACTTCACAGAGTATAATGAGAGCTGGCATTGAATGTCAGATTTGTTCTCTTTAAACTTTCTTTTTTTAACCAGTTTTAGTCAGACCAATTCATGTATGGCTGCTAATGCAAGGACAACATTCAAAATTTGACAACTTTGGCTTATTTGACAGTTTATATTTCTCTGTAACGTCTCATATCCACATGAGTGCTTCATACCCAGCCCTTCTGAGGAGCAGAGGAAAACGGCAGAGGTGCAACATCAAGGTATCTCTTTAAGTGAATGTATTTGAAGCCGGCGATGAAACAGATCGCAGGCCGTTAAGGCACATAAGTGTAAGAAGAGTTGATATACTTTCAGCTAACGAGCAGGACTATAGAAAGGCTTCACGGAACGAGCTATAGTGTGAAGACCAAGGAGCTCCAGATAACATCGAGAAACTTTATCAGAAAATAACTATCTCTCTACAGAAGGAGAGTACAATTTAAAAATGAAACTACCAAACTACAGTACACTCGAGATGCTTCGTTATGACGTCTTGATGCATAGCATCACCCATAGATAGAATCGATTTATATTTTAAGTTTATATGGATCTTATTCAATGTTTAACCATAACATTGAATAGTGGAGTTAATAGTGTTATGGAGAGTTATGGCAGTGTTTGTGGAAGAGTCACAGTCTCACTCCTCCTTCCTTTTGAAACCGACAGAGAAAGGAAGAGGAACTGATTTGTGATTGTCATGATTCTCAGTGTCATCTTTCCAGAGTTCAATTATTGACATGATTGAAAAACAGGAAATAACAAGGAGACATAATTGGAAACAAAGAGAAGTTGCGAGTTCAAATGTTTGTCAGATATGAAGCAAAGAAAGATCCCTGCTCCGCGTATCCAGGCTTTACCCTGAGCCGGATCCACACTGAAGCGCCCGGCGTCCAAAACCAACTCCAAGCCCCACGGCGGATACATCTTTCCACTTTCCAAAACCAATACATTCCCATATATTTCAGTCAGTTTTCTGCTCACAAAATGCTAATATCAACAGAGTGAATAAATGCTAAAAACAGTGTGTGTCAGTGTTTGAGGGCCCGGCTCTCTTTAGCTCTGCCGGAGCAGAGAGGTGATCCTTCTCCTCCTGTTTGTTGCTCCTCTCAGTTTCACATCGCTCCATTTCAAACACCTCGTCCTCCTTCTTTAGCGCCACTCCTCCCTCTCCTGTCTCTGTGGCGGACCTCTGGGTTTCCTTAGGTCCTGGAGGGAGAAACTTCCCAAACCTCGTCCCGTTCAGATCCTCCTCGAATTTCACCTGGAAGGGCGGCAGGCTGAGCAGGAAGGCTCTGATCCTGCTGGGCGAGCTGAGATCTGCTGGTTCCTCCTGGTTCCTCATCTCCACTTCCTGCTCCCCCTCCCCGCCGCTGCCCCCCGAGCTGGATCGCCCCCCCAGACCGAAGTTATCTGCCGTCTCCGTGCACAGTCTCTTGGACAGAGGTTGATCGGCGTTCCCGTTGACGTCCCCGTGACTCGACTCCGGTCCCTCGGCGCTCGGTCTCTTCACCACGAAGCGTTTGCTGAGATTGAGAGGCAGCGCCTGCTCGGGGGGCGGCGTGATGGGCGAGCAGGGGGGCTTGCTGCTCAGGTCCTGGGACAGAGCCTCGGACAGGCGGCGGGTGAAGGTCTGGAACTGAGACGAGCCCAGACGAGTCCTCATCAGCTGGCACACCTGCACAAACCAAACGTTTATTTATATAGCCCAATATCAAAAAACACGTTCGTCTTGTGTAACTAAATAAAACAGAGATTCTTGCACAACACGCCAGTAATGTGCAATATATACACTTCTCTGGGGCAATTCTACTGTGCAAAGCATCTCAAACCTTAATACTTATCTAGATCTATCTATTTAAATGCTGCTACTTTTTATCTCTAATGTGTGCTTCCTCTATATTGAACATACTAGCTACTTTATTATAGCTTGCCTTTTATTTGCCATGTCACTTTTCCCACACATTGTACATTCCCCTGCTGTGGGACTAATAGAGGAATTCTGATTCTGACATCACATGCATTACTCATTTATTAAAGCTAGCTTAAAGTAGCTTGCACACCTGAACGCTGCAGTCCAGGTTCAGAGGCAGGACGCGGAGGGGGGGCAGAGGGGGCCGGTTCCTGACGTCCCGACTGACCCCCCTCTGCGGGGCCGCCTCATCCACCACGCACCCCGAGCAGTGGTTGTGTTGCTGGTGCGGCGGGTGGAGGTGGGGCTGAGGCTGGAGCTGCTCCCTGCTGGAGTGTGTTGGCGTGTCCGGGCTTCCACTTTTGGGCTGGAGTGTGTAGACGGTGGGATGGTGCTGGGCGGGGGGGTCCTGAGGCGTCAGGGCGGGGCTCTCCGGGCCCCTCTGGAGGCTGATGCGGTTCCTGAAGACGTCCAGAGGGCAGACGCCTTTGATGGGGCTGAAACCGCCCAGAGATCCTCCGACGAAGTGGCGAGGCAGCGTGGAGAGGAGGAGGGGGGAGGCTGACTCCCCCCGGTCCGAATTCAGCTCCTTTGGTTTGGGCTGGAAGGGGAGGAAGGGGGCCGACATGGGGGAGAGGTCCGGGGTGAGGGGCATGTTGACGAGGATGGCCGGCTGGATGGGCTGCAGAGGGGGAGGAAGAGGAGGGAGGTCACGGTTAGTGTTTAGAGAGGTTTCATCAGAGATCAGATGGACCTCTAGTGATCCCTGTAGGGAAATGCAGGTGTTGTAGCAGCAACATAAGACAGAAACCAATATAGTACACATAATAAGAATACAATAAAATAAGAATAAACATGTAGTATTAGTATGAATAGACAATGTTACTCAAGTACCAAAATAGCTTTTATAATAGTACTATATTTGCTCTTCTCTTTGGATGCACCATTTCATCCAAAAGCTAATTCAAACCGATTTAAAGAAAAATTCAAAGAGATCTGATTCCTGAAAAGCTGAGGCGTTACCCTGTGTGTGCTGATGAGGGTTAGAGCGCCTCCACCCTGCAGCAGAGGACTCAGCAGCTGAGACTCCGCCTCTAATTTGATCCTAGCCTGCTGCTGAGCCACCATCTTGGCCTGAGCGATCAGCGTGGACTTATTACGCGTGCCGGGCGGCCGACCTCGTCCTCTCTTCACCACCAAGGTGCCGTTCGGGGTCACGATCTGTCAGAGAGATCAAAGTCAGAGGTTAATGTTGGTTTATTTATAGCACATTTCAGACACAAAGGCAATTCAAACTGCTTTACACAGCCATTAACACATAACAATTAAAAGCTGAGTAAACAAGACAAAAGACAATGCAGCAACAAGTGCTGAAGTGCAAAGATAAAGCACGGTTAGATGACCTTTGGAGAGCAACATTTTACAGTACAATGAAAGCAGCAGAACGCCAGAACTGAGAACACTTTAACTAGTACTTATTGAAACAATAGTTAATATTATTATCAAATATTCAATATTGTAAATATCTTTCAACACGTAATGCACCTGAAGACCTGTGGACATGTCTGCCTGTCAAAGTAGATTTCCAATATCTGGGGTTAAAAGGTACATTCAGATATTTCTCTGATTACATATCGAGACACATAATGTCATATTGTTCTGACCTGAGGTAAAGTGCCAAAGCTGGCAAGAACATGATGATTTCTAAATGAAAATGTGAAATTTGGTAGTACAACCAGAGGAAAAGTAAGTGAACTACTGTTTATGTTGGTGTGTCACTTACAGTACGAGCACAAGCAGCAGCAGCGGTCGCCATCTTCTTCTCTTGGGATTTGGGTCCTGGTTTCCTTCCTCTCTGAAGTGGTTTTCTTCCTCTGATGGCTCTGGGTTTTTGAGGCATGGGGCACTCTGGGATTTTGAATTCAGTTCCTCCTGCTCTGAGGTGCTCTTCATAAGGAAGCATCAGCCTGAGACACACAGTTTCAGGAAGCTTAGAGCATGGTATTTGAAATTAGGACCATATTTTCTAATTTCGAGTCTAAATTATGTATTTCTTCATGGTTTTTTTCTTTTTCTGACCTTTCATAGTGTCTCCTGGTGCAGGTCGCAGCGCTGGTGCTGCCGGCGCATCCTCCCAGCTCGTTATAAACTATTTTCCAGAGACGGTCCACTGTCACCTGTGACACACACACAAAAACATCAAGATGATCAGCTTTGAACGCCTAAAATGCAGAGAAAAAGAAGTTTGTATGGTTAATATGGGTAACTTTGTATTATGTATTAACAAAATATGAAATGTGTTGTTATTAATTATGAATGAGGAGTTGAATCAAGAGTGACTGTAGCTATTTTAGGATTAGGTAGATTTTAAATTAACTTGAATGAAATACCTTTTTGATGGAATTTTTTTTTTTTATGTTTAAAAGTGTGTATAAAAAAAAGATAATAATAAAAAAAGATCTACTACTAAATACGGTTAATACAAATAAAAACACTTAATGGTGAATATGACAATTAAACTAATAGTAAATAATAAAGACATATTTGTAAATATAAATAAAGACAAAATAAATAAATCCATACAAAATAATATTAATAATAATAATAACAGTAAAACTTGTGTCATGACCAGAGTGGTGTCACATTGTATAATGTGTGTAATTGTTTCAACCACACCACTCACACACAGAGTGTCATTATGGTTGTAACACTACGTTGTATAACACAGTATTGTTCAGTACAAGGCTCGGTCTCCAGAGGGTGTGTTGAACGGGCCTTTTGTTGTGAAACAGAGCAGCACTGAGCTGAAAACTCACCGCCCGTTTCTGTCACACTGGCCTGTTTACATTTAACGTAAAGCTGCTTTTGTTGCGTGTTCATTTACTGTAAACAGCTGAGATTGTTTCTGGCAAAACTCTACTATTTCATTCATTTTACACAGTTAAATCCCTCAGTTAATTCAAAGGTACTATTGACTTATCTGTACTGAAAATAAATCTCCCTTTATCTTTGTCTTGCTTAAACTGTACATAACAATAGAGTACTATCATTGTTATTAACAGTATCGTTTTACATCATGCTAACTTGTTTCAGGCTAACATTTAGATGTCTGTAGACTTAATGCTCCAGCGAGCTGCCCTTTTTTCTTAGCTTAGCATTAAGATTGAAAACTTAGAGAAACAGCAAGCCTGGCTCTTTTTAAACTTTTTTAAAAATAGTTTAAAAAATAAGAAAGTAAAAAAAGTCTTCTTGCTAAGCTAATATGCTAAGTCTACTGGTGGTAGCTGAATTGCTTTAGCACATAGACATAAGAGTGGTTTCAATCTTTGAATGCAACATTTTGGAAAAAAACTAAAATACCAAACCATTCTCCTAGACTTAAGACTAAAGGATCTTAATAAACAGAAATGACTACAAGTGACTCACCTTTTTGTAGCCTCCAAGCCGCTTGACCACAGAGTACATTTTGAAGAGGTCAACTGAGGAGAAAGAGGGCGGACATGTTTAAACTGAAACAGATGAGACATGCAAATATAAACACCGAGCTGATATAAGTTGTAACTCTAAAGAAAAAACGTTTTATCTCATTTGACAAAACAAATGGGATAAAAACCTGCAGAGGAATGTAAATGTGAAGGATTTTAGTTTCTGCTGCCTCTAAAGATGTGGATGAAACAAAGACCCCTGTGTTTATACTTTCAGAGTTTCACTGCCGCTTAAATAATAAGGAACCCGATCAGAGAGCGGGCAAACAGAGAGCAGGACCACATTATGATTTCAGCTGCCGTATATTCACATCTTCAAACACAGAGGCTTTAAAGAATATTATCTAGCGCCTTTAAACTTAATTAAAAATATAATCAAGATCCCAACATCTCCCCAGACAAGAAATATATCAATTTCAGTTAACCATTTGTTAAATGTAAGAGAAGCAAATGCTGTTTTAGTATTATTAGGCATAATGAATGTTTGTACCTTTTTGTAAGTAAATCCGCTAACTCGATTATGGATGGTGAAGCGAAGCCTAACAAATGAGGCATGCTGTACATCCAATTTGACTAAAAACAACACAAAACGCGATTATAAATGTAATATTGTCAGGGTTTTCTTTCAAGATAATTAAGAATATGGAGGTTTAAAGAACTAAAAAGGTAAAACGTATTTTAATGTATGAACTCATAGTAGAATTAAATGGTGGTGTTATGATCTGATTGTGATACATAATGCTATTTTAAGGTAATAAACTAATTAAAAAGAGCAGGATTAATACGTTTTATAACTACAATTTGTTATTGCCGTTTAATAAGATTCTCTGCAGTGGGTAAACTAGAATTGAAAGCAGAGATCAGACACAACGCCTGAACATGTGATAATGAAACCAGTCGAGCAGGAGTTCATTGCTGCAGCCGTGCATATCCAGACACATGTGTCGGAGGGGGGGCTAGTGGAGCACGCTCATAAACTGTTTGCCGGAGCCTCGCAGCGGAGTTACTGCGGGCCGCGACAGCAGAGCGAACAGGTACAGGAGGGATAGTTAATTGATCGCAGATGGCGTCGTGCTCGCGGACGAATAAATAAAGATTACACCTAAATGGGACGCGAAATATACTTTGGCGGCCGTTAATATAACTGGGCGGCCCGCCCAACTAAAGTCTAAGTGTGGGAAACCCTGGGTTTCTCTACTGTTAAGTTTAATAAGTACCACTAAAAAGTCTAAACTAAAAGGAGAGACAGAAATGAAAGAAAGACATAGTGAAATACAGATAGAAAACTCACTCTTCTTGAAGCCGAGGTTGGGGACTTTGTGGACGGGTGAGCCGAGGCGCTCCATGTGGTCGAAGAGCTGATCCAGGAACGTCTGCTCCTCAGGGTGAGGGAGCCAGCTGCCCTCACAGCCCACCTCCACGCTGCCCATCACGTTCTCCTGAGGGGGGGGGGACGACGACGACATCCACAGTTACAACAGAAACACTCAAGGGGACGACGACGGGGGGGGGGGACATCCACAGTTACAACAGAAACACTCAAATACCTCATTCACACCAACGCAACTCCGGTTCCAGCTCCGTGCTAGAGCTTTTCAGGTTCAGAACCGGTTCTTCGGTTTAGCTCCAGCTCTTTTCACACTGCCCAGAGTCCGACTGGTGCTGCGTCATTGCGTCATCGCTTGCGTCGCGACGTAACCGTTTGCGTGCCTGCTTCATAAAGACGTCACTTTTCGCCGAACTGCATTGCGGGAAGCGACGCGGAGCTTTGCTGGTGTGGCTCGCTGCAAAAGTTGAGTAGTGTTCAACTTTTGGCGCCTCGGCAGAAGCGTCAGCCAATCGAATCATATGCCAGTACAAGCTCTAGCCAATCAAACCGCTGCTGGTGTGTCAGGGGCGGGAGATTCATGTGATTGGTTGTTGGTCGAGTTTCAGACACGCCTGCCGTCAAGCTTCAACGCACGCCGCTGTGTGGACGGGCCGTCACAGCTCACACCGACAACAACAACAATGGCCGATTGTGTTGAAGCGCTACTCGTTTTGGTTTTGCTCTGTCGAAACTAAATGGAAGAAATGGGACGACTTTACTACCAACTTTACAGTCGTTACATGCTACCTTCAAAACAGCTTTACAATCGTAATCATCAACTTCAACTGACGATTCCGATTCCCCCTGCTCCTGCCCCCGCCTCGACGTAAGCGTGACGTATGCGGTGCTTTTGCTCTAGCCGGACCATTTTTTGGCGCTTGAAACGAACCGGATTCCGGAGCTAAGAGGCTGCTCCGCAGCGGTGTGAACAAGAAAACCCCGTGCTTTTCAAGCTCCAGCTCCGAACCGGCCGTGAAACACCGTTGGTGTAAATGAGGTAAAAGAGATGCTGGGGGTAAAGATGAACCGTTTCACAGAAAAATACCAATAATGGAAGTAGAAATTATATAAAGCTCATAATGTACATCAAAACTGTTTCATTAACATTTTGTTGGGTATTGGGTATTTAAACTGATGATGTTGTGTAAGCAACCACTACAGGGCTCCGGTCAGTGAGTCATCAGACGGATTTAAAGGTTTTTGAATTAGGCAAACACACTTGTTAAATAAACACCTGTAAACCCTTTGAAAACAACCCAAAATAAAATGTATAAAAATACACGCACAGGCAAGATTAGTACAGATAACAAACCTTCATCCTCTCGATCCAGGAATCTGATTGGCCGGAGGTCGGAGACTCTTTTCCGTCTCTGGCTTTCCTCTTGCGAGGTCGCCCTCGTAGACTGAGAGATGGACAACCTGCAGGACAAAAAAAACATTAAAAACAACTTGTAAGGACTCAAAGAATGAAAAAAATAACTATTTTATTCTAAAGAATCATTGAGAAGGGCAGGGGGTCCTTGATAAGCTGCGTATGTGTAGGTGCATGCAAATTGAATTCATAAGGTGTACTCTTTTATCATACGTATCTTTTATCAGCTTTTAGTCACATTTTAGGTGCAACATGCCCGTTTTTTAATGGCTTCACTTCACCTTCAGTTAAGGACTAAGGTGGTTGACCTAAATGTACAAACATTCATTATGTCTAATGAAACATAAACAGTTTAAAGCTTTTCCTTCAGAAATACAAATGTGATTTTCTTACATCTAATAAATGGTTAAATAAGCTTGATATATTTGACATATGATTAACAAAACAACTTTTATTTATTTTTTTAAATGTGTTGAATTGTTTTATGTCTTACATATATTTGTGCTGCATTGTTGGAAGAGCCTGGGACTTAATATATTCATTGCCATATCTACACTGTAGCTACTGTGCCTATGACAATAAAGCCTTTGAATCTTTGATGACTAACGGAAATCCGCCCTGGGGAACTCCACATTGGTCAATCGTTATAATTCCCATGTTAAAAAAGGTTTTAAAAAAGATGTTTATGTATCTGAAACACTCACTGAACTGCCAGGAGAAGCCGGCGCTGTTCTCCAGCGTGGGGTGGTTGAAGGTGTCCCTGCAGTACATCAGCCGGATGTGGGGCAGTACCTGAACGCCTCCCAGGGCCAGCAGGTGGGGGTCCTGCAGCCCCGGGCCCCTTGCCCCCTCCAGGATGCGGCTCTGCAGGGAGCGGAAGCGGCAGTACTGCGGGTAGCTGAGGATCGTTATTCCCTGTCGAGGGTCGTCTGAAAGGAGAGGACGGAAACATGTGAAGCAAGCCTCCTCTAAATGTTGCTGCTGTATGTATTTAGCATAATATCCACCACTATTGAACTATTTCCATCAATAACAAATGATTTCACTTACTAATCTGAGTTTAAATGTTCAAGACAAAAATGTTTTCATTCACTTATTGACTTGTTTGACTTGTTCCTGTTCTTTCAATTGCCCTTCAGTTCCCATCATGAAGCTTGCTCTAAAGATGTCTCAAATGAACTCATCCAGAGCCTAACATTATATAACCACACATATAGACAGGAATACCCCTGATGGGAAAAAACACTGTCTGTAAATATAAAACCTTGTGCAATATACCCTCCTGCAATTTCAAGCATATTTTTTGTCTCAGTTTATTTACAATTGGCACAATACCAGCTAGCTCTTAATTCAATATGGTCACTTTTCCTAAAAACAAATACACTTCTACTTTTTTACCATGGAGTACTTATCTGCTAGTTAGCTGTTGTGCAACTGACAATAAAACCTTTTAAACTTGAATCGTGAAATTGGTAACCTTGCACCATCGGATTAGTATCTTCAAGGCGGGGTCTCAGTGTGTTTCTTACCTTCAATTTTGACTTCCAGAGGTACGCTGGTCGTCTCCTCACAGACATTTTCGTCGCTGCTCGGTGGAGGTTTGTGGAGGCCGTTAATCCCGCGGGCTGCTGGTGTTTTCAAATAACTGCTCCAACCTGACGGCTCCGCACACCCCCACTGCACCAGGTCCTCCACCCGCACCACCATCTTCCTGGACACCGCCAGAACCTCATCCTAAAAACACACAAAGAGTTTGATGTAGAAACATTTGACTTCTGTTCTGTGTGTACTCGAAACAGGCACCAATCAAAAAGTGTTCAATTTGTTGTTTTTTCACAGCTGAGAGCACAAATACCTTTACAGTGAAGCATTTTTCAAAAAGTGAGATGGTGAATTTAGCCTTTGGTTGTTTGTCTGTTATTCCTATAATTTAGAATTACAACAATATCGCATCACTATTAAAAAAAATAAAAATAATAATTAGGACACCAAATGTGTATCTGATAAATGTTTTACTTGAAATGTTACCTTTATCTTTTACTCTGTATGTACCTCTGTTTCCAGGATGTCAATGCTGTGTGTGTTTATGATGTTTGATGAACATATATTTTATGATTCCTGTTTTATTTTGAAAGTTTAACAAACCCCACACAGCTCAGTAAAGACTGTGAAATGTTGACTTTATTTGATAATTTCAGTAAAAACTAACGTTCATATTTCTCTTTTTGATTATAATACTGATGAACGTTCAAAACAAAGCAATTTGGCAAGTTGCCACATACGTTTTAAAATGCTTAATAAGCACCGTAACGTTCATGATATCATTTCTCGGTCACGATTGGTTGTTTTCCGTGAAATGCCGAATGTTGTGTGATGGCAAATGCTGCGGCCGCAAGGCATTGTGGGGCAGCATTTTCTCCTCTCGGTTAGGGAGGTCCAGTGGTTCCTAAGCTAAAGGAGGTTATAAAGGAAGTTTGAAACCTCCTGTCCTAACATCTAGAGAATTCGAACGGCACTTATGGCTGCTACTGAGGGACTTCCGGGTCATTTCACTCCGTTAGGAAGGTTCCCTAACCCCTGTGTTTCCTCCTCCCTCCCACCTGTGTCTTGTTTATGTGATTAGTCTTGTGTGCATTAAAGTTCTGGTTTTTCTGTCAGTCGTTGTGAGATTCTTGACGTTGTAGGAAGGGTTTTTTGTTCTGAGCGACTTGATGTTTTGCCTGGTCTAGTTCTGGAAATAAAGGATTCCTGCTTTCAACCAACTTTCTGCATGTGGGTCCTGCGTACCTTGCCCTCCAGCCGTGACAATACAGGACTGTCTCAGAAAATTAGAATATTGTGATAAAGTTCTTTATTTTCTGTAATGCAATTAAAAAAACAAAAATGTCATACATTCTGGATTCATTACAAATCAACTGAAATATTGCAAGCCTTTTATTATTTTAATATTGCTGATTATGGCATACAGCTTAAGAAAACTCAAATATCCTATCTCAAAAAATTAGAATAGTTCCTCAGACCAAGTAAAAAAAAAAGATTTATAACANCCTGTGTTTCCTCCTCCCTCCCACCTGTGTCTTGTTTATGTGATTAGTCTTGTGTGCATTAAAGTTCTGGTTTTTCTGTCAGTCGTTGTGAGATTCTTGACGTTGTAGGAAGGGTTTTTTGTTCTGAGCGACTTGATGTTTTGCCTGGTCTAGTTCTGGAAATAAAGGATTCCTGCTTTCAACCAACTTTCTGCATGTGGGTCCTGCGTACCTTGCCCTCCAGCCGTGACAATATATGTACTATGCATACTTTGTTTCCTTGAGCTAAATAAAAAAATTAAAAAGGGATTCTTATTATTTATTCAAAGTAGATATAAATTTGAAATGACTGTGGCTATACCTCAACCAAATACAACATTAAAGCCCTGCTACTATTCAAAGCTCGTCCTAAAAACAGCTCCATCAGATCTTATTTGCTGGCATTCACTTCAGGTCAAACAATAAAGTCTGTTTGTACACATGCAGCATAATAAGCATGATATAACAATTCAAGACAAGGAGATTAAAGCTATAATAAAAACACATTAAAATAATAATGGATTCTCTCTGTAAAATAAAGGAAGACATAACAGAAAATGAATAAATAAAATGAATTTTAAACCTATCAAATAAAAAAATGATAGTAATAAAGATTAAAATACCAATATATAAGTTGACATCACTAATAAAAATATCAAATAAATTTAAATAAAATAATAACGATTGAAAGACTAATTAAACAGGAGATGTCTGTAGTTGATGCCTAATAAATATATCTTCTTTTAATTGATGACCTCATTTAGTAGTATATTATTTCACTCTGTGATTCTTATTATTTACACACAGTAGCACAAACCAAATTAACTGCAGCTCGTTTATTTCTGTGGTCTAAAGTCAAGCTGCTGACGTGTCCTCCATTCCAGTTTGTCAGCCGGGATCCTGTTCGGTCCTCCAGGCTGAGAAACAGGGCCCAACCCCCCCAAAAACCCTCCTCCTCCTCCTCCTCCTCCTCCTCCTCTGGGCTGCAGCCAGGTGGGAGCTCATTAACACGGCAAAGGGCCAAGGAGATTTTTACATAAAGTGGCTTTTTAAAGTCATGAATAAACATTATTTCAAGCTCTAAATCAAGGCCTGTCCCTTTCACCCTCTAATCAAAACAGCAAGAAACAGCAAGTATAATTAGGTTAAAAGTGAAGTGCTACTGCATTGGTTTTAAATAAGCCACACATTTGAAGTGCTACATTTAGAAGGGAGGAGCTTTTTTTAATTTATTGGCCAAGGTGCAGTCGAAACATGTCTGAGAAGGAAGATGTTCTGCTCTCCTGATAAACTCTTCATTCTTCAGACAAAACTCCATTTTGGAAATGTGCTTCTTTCATTTACCCTTAAATGTTTTTGTATCAGAGGGGAAGCAGTCATTCAACAGCCTATTTCCATGTGTAACATGGGTCAAATACAGCTGTAATAGTGGAGTAACATGGGGTGTGTTAATATATAACACGGGTGTTATAACAATATGTAAAAGCCATAATGGTGGTCGTACTAAAGACCTTTTATGTTACAATACTATTTGTATCTATCCGTGCAAGTGATGGCATTTCGTCGATGAGGCACCAGTGTCTTTATAATAAATGTCCATGGCTTCCATAACGCTCCGTGTCTTTTGTTGATCAGTGGCTCTTAGTGTGTCAGTTCACATCTTACACTAACGTGCGTCATGAGTGACCGATTGATCTGATTTCAACTCCCTGCTTTACATGCAACTGAACACGTACATCAGTACTGTTTGCATACACAAAATACATAATAAAAATCTGTTTTTGTTGTTCGTGTATCATAATTTGGGCGGTTGCAATACCACAATTCATACAGTTTTAAGTTAACGTGGCTAATGGAAAAGTGCTGCTACAGTCTTTGTTCGAAATCAGAAATACTTTATTCATCCCTGGAGGAAAAATGATTTTGTAATATGAGCTCAACACAAAATTAAATTAAAGTCTCAACTAATGTTAATTTCCAGATATAGGTTTTGTTCCTGTATGTTAAAACTTTTTAATCTCTTAGAGCTTTGCTCTTGCTTTTTTTTAGAAACAAACCATTTTTTAAAGAAACTGAGCACTTATTTGTGTAAACAATTTGAGAAGGCTTATTTTTCTACCAGGCAACTCAAAACCTCAGCATAGAGACTTCAACAGTGGAATATCTAAGTTCAAAATGTGGAAAGTTTGGTTTAAGTCACGTCATTATCAAGGATTTACATTTGGGTAATGCATTAGTCTCAATCCCAAAGGAGGATTTTCACTCAACGCTGAGCTGCAGCCGGCAGAGCTGTGTTAATCAAAAACACATTCACATTTAATACTTCTTACTCCATGTGAAATCTTTATATGTATGTAGTTTGGAGGAATATAGCAGTAATAATTAAGCATTTAAATCAATCACATCTGACCACAGAAAGCTGAGAGAAGTTGCTGTTTGTACATTTTGATCAACAAGAAGACATTGAGTTCGAGGCCGAAGATGTTTGGTGAAAAAAGGAGGCCGTGTCCCTGTGACGAGGTTATTAATAGATGTTCTTAAAGCGTTCCCCAGATTATATTGGGGAGACGTTCCCTCTCATTACGAGTCCACAGAGCGACATCACTTTTTTGTTTTTCATACTTCATATTTTGAATAGTACCTAATGTTCATAATGTAGGTAATATTCTAGTTTTTATGTATACTATTCAAAGCATCTTCAAATAGTGCTACTTTATACTTCGACAAAATGTAAGACAAAAAAGTTGGATTCAGATTATTTATACAAAATCCAAACAAAAACATTCTAATGTATAATTATAAATTAAAATAAGTCTCACTTACAAGCTAAACAGAGACATATTTGTTTCTAATCTAAATAGTGCAGACCAAATAAAAAAAAATGGAAAGCCAAAGTCTTAAATTATCAGTAACTACATCACCTTGTTCGCCAGTTTTGGCAACCCTAATATCCACCACAGGATATGACGCACTGGAACAAGTGCGTCATATCCTTTGGTGGATATTAGGGTTGCCAGTAACTGACCATGATCAAAATCGATTATTCGGCAGCCCTGGCGAATAATAATCGATTATTCGACCCCCCCCCCGCGGGAGAGAAAAAAAAACTCAGACAAAAGGAATTCCGTTGTTTTCTTTACTGGAACATGTTTAACAGTACAACAAAA